TTTTTTTTGTATAGAATAAAAATCATTTTTCGATCACATGAATTGTTTGAATGATCAATCAAGTGCGAAAACGTCGTCGGTTCTTCCATTGCTCGAAAGATTGGGAGAGAAGTCGATAGATGAGCTCACTCAATTCGATCACGCTCAATACGCTCAGACCAATCCATCTACGTAGAAATAGCATCAATTGATTCACTATTCAAGCAAAGATTAACTTTTACTTACAAGCCTGTTTGCCCACCAACAGCAGAAAACGTGTCGATTATCGTCAACTTCGCTTCTTGTTGGTACTCAGTGACATACTGGCTGCTGCATACTACGCGAACTTTCAAGTAATTTCGATTGAAGTAGTAATCGAAACGCTGTGCAAAATCATTTGGCAACAAGGCACTACTAGTCGTATCATTTCCATCGAGTAGAATTGTCTTCCAATAAGTCATATCTCCGTCAGATGGAGCAGCTTGTGCACTAAGATGAGCTATGAAATTGGTGTGCTGGCATTGAGTATTACATTTTGAACACCACATTGTTTGTAATTGTTCACTGGCATAGAATTCTCTTCTTGCTACAAATGAACATTGTATTTGCCAGCTAGATGGATCGCAAAAATTTGCAGGTACGAGATGACCACCGAGTGTGAGTACGCTGCGTGTTAAAAATGGTATTGGAAAGATGCATGAGCATTGTGAGAAAATATATGACTGTTCACACAACTCAAGACATACTGATTCCGAATAAACAATAGTAGCCGATGCTGAATCATTGAAAAATGTTGTCTCGTACAGTTCACGCATATCAAGACTCACATCAGACATACATTTCGTATAAGGTGAGGGAAGAAACATCGTTTCAGTCTTTCGATAGTTTATCAAATGGGATAAACCAGGCTGAAGACTTAGACCGTTTTCGTTGGGTAGTGGAAGCTCTTTATTATCATGTAACAAAATAGTGAGTCCAATATCGCGAGATTCGTCCGGAAAATACATTTCTCCTGGTATATAGAATGTCATCGAGAGACCTCTTCTCAACACAAACGTTGTACCAAACTCATTAAGTGTAAATATTTTTGCCGATGTTTGCCAATTAAATGTAAAGCAATTGCCAAATATCGTCGACAGAGATGGAGTGAACGTATTCAAACAATCGATTCCATTGTAGGTGCATTGAAGCAGCAGGTCGCTCAATTCAAATCCAAGTGACCATAACTCTTCTGTTTTATTTTGATTGATCAAATCAACTATCAAGGGAAGTTTAAGAGAATTGAGAACACTTTGATTAAATGTTGTATTTAGTGGATAAATGCGATAGAAATAAGAGATCAGTGATGTATTCATCCGATCGTATCGAAATGGATTTGCGCTGCAAACAGTCACAGCAGGAAATGCCATATTCCGATCAAGACGAGTTTCAACATTTGTTTGTGTTGGATAGGCATAATACTGAAGAATAGCTCCTGTAACAAAATAGAGCATGAGACCAAAAGTTGTCATGAATACGATTATCCAGAATACAAGATTGAATATGGAACGTGCACGGCCAAGACTGCGAAGCCCATGGGTAGATGTTGCCAGTAGATAGTCGATCAATATCGATTGACGACTTTCTTCGACTTTCTTTGGCTGTGCATGGCCCACAATATTATCTAGGGTTGCCATTCAGGTGCGTTACCAAAAAATATTGTTGAAATAAACTTAACTTGGTTTTTCTTTAGTTGTAGTCAACGTGAATAATGTGAAGTGAATAGCAAATAAAAATTTGAATCGCTTGTTAACATTATTTACATGAGACTCCGAACAATGGTTCATTATTTAGTTCATGAAAAAGAAAATGAGTAAGCGAGAGTAAACTTGAACATGTTCGACTTTACTGTAAAAACTCAGTTTGCTTTCGGTTTGTGTGAATTTCCATAGCAGACCTAATACGCTCTGCATCGAATATTGATATTTTGTAGATATGGAGTTGTTTATGATTTAAATATTGATTAGATGTATTCATGCTTGAGCAATGTTATCAATCAATTTTATCTTCTAAGACGTTAATGTTAGACAAAGTGATCAATGCAAATAAGTGATAAGTTGAAAATTATATTCTGCGCTTTCGTCAATTTGAATCATTAGTTAATTGTTTTTCATCATTCTTATTGTCATATTTTCCTTCTCTAGAATCAACCTTCACGCTTGTTTGCTCGAGATTAAAAGTGCATAGTACAAATATTTACTTTTTAAATGTTCTAATGGCTCAGAATTGATGGTTTTCCCAAAGTCAATACTACAGCCGAGAGTTCTTACATTCCGGAAATTTGAGACATAAGCATTTTTTTTCTCTGCTATAATTGTTGTGATATTGTAATCGATGAGTCTCTTGCAGAAAAATTATCCTATGATCATCATCAACTTATTCTAACCGATCAATAATCGTTGATTTAAGTATTTTTTCGAATATTTCAGGAGAACGCTTTTTTATGTAAGTTCATTCAAACAACTGGAGACAATACGCATTGCCATAATGACGTTTTCCGATCAACTTCAAAAAGTTATAGAATAGTATGCTATCCGTGTGTTACTATACCATTTGTGCATCTCGCTTAACAAAAGTCTAGATACCGGTCTAACCGATTCAACAAGTCAGACGGGATTGACTTATTGACGGTATTTTGCACAGAATTTTCGTCTAAACCGATGTAAGTCACAGATGGAATCAATAAAACATGATAACTGGATGTGGGTGTGCAGATGAGCAAACATGACAGCTAATAGGCTGTCAAGTGGTTGTCTTGAATATCTCATTTTCTTAGGTATGATTGTGGCACTTTTCATGAAGGTCTTGATGATTTGGTCGAACGTGTCAACGTATCGCTAAACGGAATGCTGATGTTCTTTTGCAATTGATTGATTACACAAATGATTTGCATAATAAACAAAGAGCTAGTAGAACTCAATAAGGTGCTATCGAATTATTCAACAACAAAAAAACAAATCTTACTGCAATGGAACAGAAAACTTTGAATTCTGATCGTTGTTAGTGGATACCTGAGATTTGGAATACTGTTCGCATCCTTTTAGAATATTCTACCAGTTTGACCATTAAGCTTACATGAGAACTTTATTTTCAAATTCATATGATGATAGATTATATTTGAGGTATTCTCAGGTGTTTGTAAAACAAAGTTTGGGAAGAAAATTCTGTTTAGTTCCAATGTCAAAGAAATGTTTCGATAGCTTAGTACCACATAGCATACATTCTGTAGTCTTCATTTGGGTTATGGACAATAAATCGTAAAATTCATTGATGGTGCAAACAGCACTTGCTTCTTTAAGATTATGGGAATGCATCTTGAAAGAAAACCCAATCAATGCGTTGTTCTTGTTGTTCTCTGTACATAGTAAGTTTGATGAATAGACGATGTCGTACAAAATGAGGCTTCAAAAGAAATCTTTTACTCATAATCGTTTCTTCTGTGTGCGTGACAATATCCTATGGTCAGATCGAATGTAAGTGGACACTTCCATAATCGGTTTGTGTGCATTTAAATGGAAAATCCAGGTTGATTCAATAAAATATTTTTTGTAGATGAAATGTATTCGCGAATTGAGATAGTTGTCAGTAGAAAAGGTACGAATTCTGGTACACACTATTTTCAAACTTTTATATTGATACCATTGCTCATGAAAATATTTTTCAATAAAAAGACAATTTGAGAATATTGTAGAAGAATTGGTGCTCATAAAGAAACTGGCAGCGCTACGTCAAGGGATCGGTCATGCTATAATTAACACACTGTAGGCTCTGAAAGAAAATGCTTGAAAATCAACAAATACTTTTTAATAAATCTAGTGTACAACAACACTGACACCGTAGTAAATTCTTAGTTCTTAGTATTCGAAAAATTCAATGCTTTGTGTCTTTCTATGATGAATAATGAATTCCTATGACAGCTATTTTTTAACGAACAGTACATGTTGATTGAAGTATTTGTTATTTTTTATGCATCGTACAATTCTGGCTCACCAAATAAAGGAATTGAGACCAAACCTTTCGAGATCGATTAGTAGGATTGAAGATTCATTGATCTAGAAGATTCTCACTGAACCGTGACTAATGCAATTAATTGTGCCATTTTTGTACGCGTCGATTTTCAGTATTTAGTGTATCACGATTGCTTTCACTTCAGAGAAAAGAACAATATTTGTTTTCTATGTCTACTCACCAGAAATAAACTCTGACTATTCCTATAAACTATCAGATTGGCTTTGACTTTCATCGTCTAGCAATAAGATATAAAATAATAGCAATATTGAAAAGATTCCTTCTACAGTAACTATCAGAAGACTATCATGTGCGCCGTGGTTGTTTTTTCTTCACGTGCTCGTTGCAAAAAAAAAGAAAAACAGGAGAATGAAGAAAAAAAACTGGCTTGAGCTACACAAAGAAAGGCAACAGAGTTATTTTTCTGGTTTAAAATGCCTCATCATCATCGTGACACATATTTCTTTTTTTCTTGATGATTTGACATTTTTTTCTGCACGTTAATTATTTATAACTGACAGCTAAATCAATTCACAGTTGAAAAATATAGTATGAACTTTAGTGATCATCAAAGGGAACTGATAAGAAAATACTGAATATTTCCTGTATTGAATACTGCTAAAAGGTTAGTGAAAAATAATTCTCTTTCTTCTGTTGAATTCATCTATTATCAAGATCTCGTTTCTATTGTTGTCTAATATGATAATTCATCTGTGGCAAACATACTTTTCAATGAGTGTTTAAGTATATCGTGAGAAAAGTTAACCAACATTCTTTGACTTGTCGCATGGACTCTGAAAAACTTGTTTTTATGCTTTATTTTTGCCTTATCAAGGGTTTCGATTAAATCTAAACAGGATCTATAGATACAGTTTGTGCGTTTCTATCGTTACGCAGTTTAATCTCACAAAAATCACACTGAAAGCTTTTGCTATGTATTTCTCTAGTTTGTTTTTTATTTAGCATAGATAAAAATGGGAAATAGAGCGTTCTATAAACGTGCTCCGTCAAGTGATATTCAAGGCATTGCATCAACGAATGTACCAGCGTACTCAAATCATGGAACTTATTCATTTCGAGAAAACTATCTTTATGGTGTATATACCGGAGTTCAATGGCAGTGTGTAGAATTTGCTCGTCGTTGGCTCTTACTACGTAAAAGTTGTACTTTCTCAGATGTTGACATTGCTGCTAACATTTGGACAAACATACCATATGTTGAACGTGTCACTGATGGTAAAAAACTTTCATTGATAGCTCATCCAAATGGTTCGAAGAAAAAACCACAAAAAGATTCATTTCTTATTTATCCACGTAGTCGACGAATGTATGTTGGACATATTGCTGTTATTACCAATGTTGATCAAAACTATGTTTATATTGCTGAACAAAATCATGAATTTCATTATTGGTCTGCTGACTACGCTCGTCGAGCACCACTCATTTTTACAGATAATGGTTACTTCATCGATGACGATTATAAGCTTTACGGATGGATGGAAATCGAAGGTAACGAGCAACTGCAACCATTGAATGAATCGACTATTCCACGAATCTTGAGAAAATATCAGACATCTGATGAATAGAGTGATATTAATCTCATAAAATATTTGATCTTAATAAATGTATGTTAAACAATTGAAAACTTAACTTTGAAATAAATATAATGAGAGTGAGTTCGAGTCAGAGACAGAAAGAACAATAAACTTGCTTCCGAAAAGATAGTCGAGTGCATTCAAAGCTTAAATGAAACTGGTCGATTTTCAAAAAGTTTGATGTCGTCGACTGTAGTTTTCAAGAAAAACTTTAAGGTTTCTTCAGGAAAATGACTTTTAAAACATGTGCTGATCATTGACTGAAATAATATAACGTTCAGGTATTTCAAGTCACTGTAAATTTTCATTTTCAATTTTTTCGAACAAATACATGTTTAAAAACAAAACTTCGAGCAATCATACAACATATTCATAAAATTTATAAATCAGCAACGTGTTATTTGATAATTTGAATGAACTCTTATAGTTAAAATACTTTTTTTATATATTGACAAAATTTCAGATAGAAAATTATCACAAATGCTGTTATAATATTCGAAATATAAGATTTCACGGATTTCGTTGCAAGTTAGATTATAAGAATTTCTTGATTGAATCTCCGATACATTACTTTCTTTTTTAAATCAAAGACAAGCATACAACAATTAACACTTTATCAAAGCATAATAAACAATCATGGATTCTGTCTTTGACTTCTTGTTCAATGTTAATAGTGAAATTATCATAAAACGTCATAGGTGGTAAAGTATTATCAGCCATAAATTCTATTGGTATTTTGTGATGATATTGTTGAGCAGGAACTGTAAAATTTGTACAAAACAGATCATTGATTGAACATAGATTTATTGTCATATCGATTACATGATTAGGAGGAGCTCTTCCATCAGTACAATAATCCAATAGACCGATATAATTCCAATTACCGAGAATTTTAGTTCTAGAGAATGTTCGTGCATCTGAGCTCTATTGACAAAAACAACAATCAAACGATAACATCGTATCATTAATGTCTTTTCGTTTAAACATTCCACCTTCATCATACCAAGGAAAATCTTGTATTTTTAAATCTCTTTTATTATACAACGCTTATATAAACAAAATCAATAATCACAATAATGCCTCGAGTTTGTACAATTCGTCCATGCCATCAAATTTATATTATTGATAAAGGACATATCATCACATGTGGTTCTCATGAAGGATTATCAAATGATTCTTCTGAATAGATTACAATGATTTTTAGGATCCTTTCGAGAATCAATATTCAACAAAACAATTACTCTCGATTTCGTTTTTAAAAATATTTCATTAAACTTTGTTTTCTCGTTATATACAAATCAATAGTTTCTTTTTCAATCTCATCTAACGTTCCTGAATATAACTGGTCAAAGTATATCTTATTTCCTATTCATGCCATAATAGTATAGACTAACTAGAAAATAATGCGTTAGGATATTTTTAATAATTAGAAGAGATTATACACGCATGATTAAACAAGATTATTCATTTTTTAATTATCCTAACAAAAAATAATTGACAAATTTTACTTTTAAAGATAATGTAAAATATCATTGATCTACGTTCTATTGATAATATGTTGTAAATATATTCCATAGCCACTATTAATTAAAGGTTCACTCAATCTTTTTAATTGATATTTATCAATATAATTTTTTTTGTATGCTACTTCTTCAATGCAACCAATTTTTCGACCGTTTTCAATTTCTAATGAACGGACAAATTGTGAAGCATCATTTAATGATTGAAATGTTCCCATATCAAACCAAACTACTATTTTATCTAATTTTATAACATGTAACTTATTTCGTTGAAAATATATGTTATTTATATCTGTAATTTCATATTCACCTCTATGTGATGGTTGCAAATTTTTTGCTATGTTTATAACATCGTTATCAAAAAAGTATAAACCAGTTATGGCGTAATTTGATTTCGGATTTTTTGGTTTTTCTTCAATAGAAATAGGTTTATCATTATGATCAAGTTCTATGATACCGTAACGATGAGGATCGGATACTTCATAGGCGAATATATAGGCTCCATCAACATTATTTAATGTTTTTAGATGACAACTGAGATCCATACCATAAAAGAAATTATCACCAAGTATCAAAGCAACATTATCATTACCAATAAATTTTTCTCCTATAACGAATGCTTGTGCTATTCCATCTGGCTGATCCTGTATAGCATATTGAAAGTCACATCCAAGTTGAGTACCGTTTTCTAATAATCGTCTATATTGATCATAATCAGTTGATGTTGTTATAATTAAAATTTGCTTTATATCAGCCATCATTAATATAGATAAAGGATAGTAAATCATCGGTTTATCATATATCGGTAAAAGATGTTTTGATATAACTTTTGTCAAAGGATATAAACGAGTGCCTAAGCCACCCGCTAGGATGATACCTTTCATCAAAAATTCTATTCGAAAATATGTTTTACAGTGTTTTATTATTGGAGATTTAATCAGTGACTATACTAGAAAAAAAAATCATGCTTGATCCTTATATTCTAATAAGAAAAATATCATGTTTTTTTATTGTAATACGTTTATTATTTCAATCAATATGTCCTTAGAAGTAATTCAAAACAAGAAAAAAATAATGCGTATATCTGTACACATAAAAATACATATACAGGTATGCTACAAGTAAATAACACCCGAAAGAAAAAATACGTTAATAATAAAAAAATAGTGAGTAATACAATACACAATATACATGTGATCAAAAGAATAAGAAGTAAAGTAGATTTTCATTATTTTTTATAGCATGAAAACATTACATAATGGATGAGAAAATAGCTGATATCATGTTAGGCAGTTTTTTTTTTTTATTGAGAGTTTTCGTTATGAAATCACAACATTATTAATCACTATAAATAGATAATTAGACCAATAAAAGAAAAACTAAAATGTAAATACGCTCAAAAAATGATCTACTAGCTGATGCAGATTACTTATCCGATCATTTGTAAACGAATTCATTGATGCATTTGTTTAGATCATTGTAAACATCGTTTAAGGGCATAGCTAATAACGTCATAATATTATATTTTCATCTTGGTCATTATTATCTCATCTATTTTGCTAGTGTCATTGACTAACATCATCTTTATACTCTCTTACATTGAATCTTTATTGTATCGATTAAGATTTTTTCTTTTATTAAATTTTTGTACGCAAAAATAATTTGATGATCATAAACCAAATACTTTCAAAAACCTATTCAAGATTTCGTCCAAGTGCATCTAATTTTATAATAGATAAAATTTGTAATCAACTCATAGGAATGAATTAAATCCACTGAAACTCTTCTATTATTTTAATGCGAATTTTTTTGCTCTCTTAATAAAACAATTGAATTTTAGCATGGAAAAAAATATTCTTATAACTGGAGGAGCTGGTTTTATCGGTTCACATGTCGTTCGATTATTTGTCAATAAATATCCAAATTATCATATAGTGAACTTTGATGCATTGACCTATGCTGGAAATCTTGAAAATCTAAGAGATATAGAAAATAAAAAGAATTATACTTTTATTAAAGGCAATATTAATCAGATTGATTCTATTGAAGATATATTTAATCAATTTAAATTTGATGGTATAATCAATTTAGCTGCTGAAAGTCATGTTGATCGATCGATTAGTGATCCACATCATTTCATTCAAACGAATATTGTTGGTACTGTTAATTTACTAAATATTGCTGCAAAATCATGGAAAGATAATTTTCAAGATAAACGTTTCTATCAAATATCAACTGATGAAGTTTATGGATCTCTTGGTGAAATTGGACTATTTACAGAAACTACTCCATATAATCCACAATCGCCATATTCTGCTTCGAAAGCAGCATCTGATCATTTCGTTAAAGCCTATGGAAATACTTATGGAATACCATATGTAATAAGTCATTGTTCGAATAATTATGGACCAAATCAATTTCCAGAAAAATTAATTCCACTCGTAATTCATAATATAAAAGAAAAAAAAATATTACCCATCTATGGAGATGGAAAGTATACTCGAGATTGGTTATATGTTATTGATCATGCTAAAGCTATTGACGTTGTTTTTCATAAAGGTAAAAATGGAGAAAGTTATAATATTGGTGCTTTTAACGAATGTAAAAATATTGATTTGGTTATGTTATTATGTCAAATAATGGATGAAAAATTGAATCGAACGAAAGGAAGCTCTGTAGAATTAATAAGACATGTAGCAGATCGTCCGGGACATGATCGAAGATATGCAATTGATGCAACGAAAATTAATAATGAACTTGGTTGGTTTCCATCTGTTAAATTTCAAGAAGGTTTAAATCAAACTGTAGATTGGTATCTCAATAATCAATCGTGGTTAGATCATGTTAAACATGGAATATATCAATCTTACTATCAAAATGTATGATAATCTTTTAGATACTAAACAAATCAGCATTACTAAAGTTTTCTTCAAACCTTGAATAGATTATTCCATATATTGTTATAGATAATATTCATTATAATTTTAAAAAGATTTTTTTTTTATTAAATTAAGAAAACATTTAGTAAATCATTTTACGAATATTTTTGAAATTGACAATCAGGATGCTTTCTCGATTGGCTTTGTTTTTGATATTAAGGCTGTGATTGCTTTTTTCCATGATTGACAAACATATTGAATTGGATAATGTCTGAAAAAAAAATAGCAAATTTTGTGTCTTATGAAGTAAATGTCGGATCAAATGTCAGAGAAATATGTAATCCTATTTTCCTAATCGATGGATTGCTAATAACTAAAAACGATTCATACAGAAATCTAATTTGGCAAGATACACCATTACCGCAAGTTAGTTCGAAGTATGAAAGTGAAATGGTTCGATCTAATACATATGATCGTATTCACAGGATAATTATTTCTTTTTCAACCCAAAGGATGATTAGCAAACTGAATCTTGATGTTGTTAAGAATATTTATTCGGTTAATGCTACAGTCAACACAGGCATTGGTCATGAGTTTTCTAATTATGCATCAGCATTGGAAAAAGTGATCTGCCATTGAATTGTACTGTTAACGATATTAATTAAAATACTTTTATCAAAATATTGAGTGTCTCACTCTTAGTTGTTTGTTAGTATGATACGAAATATTTTTCTATCGTTGATCTTCCTTATTGTTTTTGAGAAATCATCTTTGGATCGATGACTCATGTATGTTACTCCGAGATTTATTAGCAATTTCTGTAAAAAGAAATAATTATTCTCAACGACATTTTCCATGCATGAGTCCTTTGTTGACGATATAGATAAGAATAAGAATAGGTTTTTCAAGTTATTGCTAGACCAAACTGCTCTCTTCATATTGACAATTCTTCATGAACCTACTGCTTTCTTATGTGGAAACATTATACCTCATATTTTTCGAATTATTAGATATGATATAATAGCGTTAAAAAAAAAACTTCATTTTACGTTGTATTGTTGTTAACAGAACTTAAGATAACAAGAAACAATGTATATAATGAGACAATGACGACCTATATTTACGAATTTTCTTTTCATTAAAACATTCAATATACGAACTGACGAGAGACTTTCCTTCATCAGTAATATTCGCTTCAATACACTTGACATAAAAAACCTACCAATGAAAAGTTTTGTCTAACTGCGCCATAATCTGCGATTATGCTATTACGTCATGTCAATGCATATTGAAATAGATTTCTATAATAGACTCGACCATGTTTTCCGAAGTAATAAGAAGGAATATATTTGGTTTGACTATGTGCTATATTATTTAAATTCAAGTAATAAACTCGTTTTTTCATGTTACAAACACGGAGTAATGCAACAGTAACACTTGTCAATTTACCTTCTTTCATATACATGTAGCTCTTGTCATGCGACTCTAAAAGTCTTTCAAATGCAAACAATCTCGTGGAGAAAACAGTCACTTTGTTTCCAGGTAGTCAATGCTTTAAATGCTATAAAGTTAGATTTTATAAAAAGAAGTTTTTGATGAATTTTGAAACATTGAACTCTTTTATATTTTCGTTTCTCTGATGATGTTCAATACCGTTTACAAATCTTAATCGATCAATTATCTTATTCATAACAATGTTGCATGTCTATGTTATCTTGGAACAGATCTTTCGACAATTTCCTTATTGATTTTCGCTAAAAGTGCTTTATTTTAGTACATACCAATGCTCTCATTTCCAAATACTTACTACTAGTTTTTTGACTATTAATGATATCATCGTGCAACACGATATTTTGACTTTACTTGTTACTGCAATTGTTGTTCGTTATTTTTTTTTTGTAAAACTTGGAAATATACTTGACAGAAAACTGTGTTTTATGAAGCCTTTGTTTTTCTTTTTTTCAAAGGGAGCTATTGAAAATTTTCACGTCTGTTGTATTGTTGCCGTTGCACAAAGAAAAGATCATTCTATTTCTTATTTTAATATAACTTTTGTCTAGATAACAGAATTCTCTACTCAGTGAATCTATTTGAAATATTTCACTTGAAGGCTAACCGTTCCTATCCGCTGCATATACAAATAAACATTGGTCTAGGTAACGCAATAACCTTTTTTTATTACAGGTCAAAGTCTACCCATTTTCTATTGCACGAGAGCATCAAGAACAAGAAAAAGCTGAAATGAATCACGACGACGGACATGTAAATTTATTTCGCACGTAAAAAGCAACATCTTGTGATGGAATTAAATTCCACGTTAATGTGTTTTATTTATTCTTTGAGAAGAAATGAATAATGCTGAAACATAATGCTCTCTATGAAATGAATCAATATGTTATGGCGCAATGATGATTCAATCACGTTGAAATATATAAAAGAAACAACTTCGTCAAGAAATCTATTATTGTTGATTGTATTCATTCGTTCAAAATGAGCAAAGTACCAGCTAAAAAAGTGATTCCTTCCAAAGGTAGCTCTTCACCAGCGAAAAAAACGACTTCGAATGTTGCCAAACCACCAGAAAAAGCCAATGCGACGAAGACTACGAATGAGACAGTGGCTGCAGCAGTTGCTAAACCAGAAGCACCGATTGTCAAAGAGGTCAAGATGAAAGAAGTTCTTCCAAAGGAGATGGAAAAATTAGATAACTTGAAAAAATGGCCAATTATTATGGATGAAGTCGGTGAGTAAAACAGCTATTTAATAATTGGAAAAGAAAACAAAGGCGTACTAGTAAACATTGTTCAGAAACAGGAGTAGCAGTGACCAATATTCACTTTGTAGGACAACTTATTCTAGAAACTCTTTCAGTCTCTTTACATATGTCTTCAAACTTTCGAACTCAAGTTTGAATTAAAAATAGACTTTTATGTAAATAGAAAATTCATAAAGACCTATAAAATAATCGCACTTGTTATGTACAAGATTTTTAGGCCTTGGAATATTTTAATAATTTTTAAAACACATGAATGTTTCTTTCATGAGACTTATAGATCGGTAATACTACGCAATCGAAAATGCGTCGATACTCTGATTCTTACATATGTGTTTCAAACTTGTAGAGATCTCATTTATTATTTATTCTAGGCAATCTAAAAACTTTCTATCGTATGAATGAACTCGTGATCGATTTCAATACTCCTCTCACCGTACAACGTGTACAAGTTGCTCTTCAAAGTGCTTTTTTTGGACTTACTTTCAATCCGGACGGATCTATTAATGATCATCGCCAATATAGTGTTCCGAACAATGTCAATCGACTGGTATCAATCATCATGGAAGACAACCCTATTGAGAAATGTGTGGAAGAACTACGAAAAGTTTGCACTCAACTTCATCCAGATCTGTTCGATACAGTTTTCGGAAAAGCCGATGTCAAAGAATCAGGACGAGATGATCTAGATCGTCTCTTTGCTATGACTCAAACACCTGATGAAATACGCACAACTGCCTACTATCAGTTCGGAGCTAAGAGTCGAAGTGAAGTGCCTTTCACATGTGTATGGATTACCCATCTTACTGAAATACCAACCGCCTATGATAATCTCTTTGGACCAAGATTCAAATTGAATTACAACTGAGATATTGTTCATGACAAGTATATCAAGATTTAACAAACTAGAAGGGACAACATTTTTGTAATTACTTTAAATTTAGAAATCTTATCCCAAATAAAATCAAATTGAAAAACTATATAGCACAAATCAGAGGATACGATTCTTGAATGACGATGTGCAAAGAACAAGGCATCTTACTGCTACTAGACACAAAAAAAGAGGTTGGTTTCTAGGCACTTCTATCATCAACTATCAAATAGTTCAGTTTTGCAGATGAATTAAAGATATTTTTAAGAACTACGTAATAGCTTCGTGTTCGACATCGTGTAGTATAGGTAATTAAAAAAAACAATTTTAACAGTAATTATTCTTCAATATGGACTAATTGTTTTGAAATCACTTATTTTCTTCGGAAAATTTTTCCAACCATAATCCATCATATTGATGTTATATCAGGCTTGTAAAAAATGATAGGAAAACATTTTGACTTTCTCTTAAAGTCTTCTGGTGCTTAATTGTGTCGCATGAACATATTTTTATTACTTGATCTTGAAGCTATTTTCAAAACGAACAAAGAAAACGTTCAATAAAACTTCTTGAAAAAGATATCATCGCCAACGAACTATTTAGTATCCTTGACAAAAACAGATATAAATTATAAATTAAAAAAAAGGAAAACATAAAGAATGAACTCACCACCACTCCTGTACTATCGAATGCTAAGTCAGTCGGATGACAGAATTGATTTGTTCCATTACCTTCCCCATTGCCACCAGCTATTACACTGATCTTTTCGGCACCATCTGCTAGAAAACGCATTATCCTATGGTTCTCTGCATCAACTGTATAAACTGCGCCCAAATGGTCAATTAAAATTCCCATTGGGTAAGTCAGTTAATCTATTCGACTACCTTCATCATTACCACCCACGACAATAGTTGCCTCTTTTGCATTCACAGACCATTTTTAGATCGTCTTTACAACGAATGAACGACAACTTATGAAACTGTTAATCCAAATAGATCGTGTTAAATAAAAGTAAAAGTCGTGATAGACTAGACATAATCTTATTCTCCGTCCAGAGAGATGTGTCAATTAGCAGAACAAAAAATCAAATGAGATGAGATTCTTTAAGGTTTGTATTTGATAAAAGGTAATGATGTTCAGTTCTCTCTAATAATTTCTTTTTAAATAAAAAAAGACTCAAAATTGCCAAATGTCACTTAGTAGTAGAATTATCGAAGGAAAAGACTTCAAAATTTAATCTTATCAAAATTAAAACATCAGGAAACGTTTTTGAAGAACAATTTTTTCTGTCGTATCGAGTCTAAAAATTGAAAAATATAAAACTTCAACCAATTTCAATGACTTTGAACGCGAGGTAGTCGGAAGAAAAGCTACGACATCGAAAAACATTTCGAGAACATCTATTTTGATGAAGCAATGTTTAAAGATTGATTAATTTACGAATAAGACGTTTATTTAAACGACCTATTGAGTAAACAAAATCTATTTATTAACGATTTCTCTTGTACATACTCATATGATAAGAGAGCCTATAGAGACCTTGTGCCATTAATTAGTTGTTGCAGTCGATCTGCGACAGTAATCGACAATATCTGAAGAAAAATTTATGAAATAATACCACAGATGAAAAGAATAATTCAATAACCAAAGTGAATGAAGTATTTAAAGTGTAATGAATATCTTTTACCGTAATAGTTCTCCCTAGTGATACTTGTCACACTATTATTTTTGAATCATACCAATCACTATTTGCTCTCACTAGAAAAAGAAACAAACACGCAAAATAGTACATGAATAATGTTTTGAAGATTAATGCAAAGACAGTATATTTTTTCTGTTCGCCTTTTTGCGATCCTTGGACTAGATGTTCCTTGATGCAAATGTAACGTTTTGGGACGAAAAAAAAGACGTGCATAATGAGATTTTAATAGTTGTATTTAAATAAGGCTGTACATGTTTTATTTCACATTGTGGATTCATGCAACCGACTATTTCGTTCGATCGATAAGTAGAACAAAATTTGAAAGGTTTACACATTTGAAAAGTAATGTAATTGAATTAAGAAGCTATTCTCATTTGAAAATCAGTGTAAGTTGTATCATACTTCGAAACAAAAGATTAGTTCTTCAAGCAACCTATTCACAACAAAAAATGTTCACTTTTGAGAGAGTCAATAATGAAATATATTAGGAATATTTTCTAAAGTCTCTAAAGTGGTTAGAGAAGTTTTTTTCTCAGAGTTTTCTTATGAGAATGAAATAACAACTGCAGTCTTTACAATGTAATAGAACTTTGAAATACAAGTCAGATAAGAATGAATTGATAATGATCATAAGAAAACTCTTGACACGTAATACTATTACATCAGTCATCATTTTATTCAAATTCAAGCATATATTATATATCTTACTCTATCATTCATAATTCATTGTGATTTTGTCTCAATCTATTCACATTTTCATTCTTTTTTCTGAGATTTACTCTGTTTGTCAGTCAATAATTGTACAGAATAATTAGATATTCTATCATTTAAATTAACATTTTAACTTATATTAATGCATCACAAGACGTAAACAACAAAAAACATTAAGTATATAGTATTTCATGTCTGTTTATCAAGCAAATAAAGATGAAGAAGAAACATAACACAAAGAAGCATTATCAAACGAATGAATATACTGCTTTTCAAACTATTCGGACTGAAAATAATACATCGAATATATTCATGAGAACGAAGGTGCAAGTAATTTTCTTAGATAATCATCTTGCAAGCAACCAGAAACAAATTCTTCTTTGGACAATTTTTCATCACCATTATCATCCATTTTCAAGAAGATCTCATCCACTTTGATATAAGGTGAATTCGAGCCTGATTTTTCTTCACCAAACAGATCATAAATAGCCTAAAAGCAGAATATCGAAAACAAGCAAGTTTTGTTCGATAAAAAACATTTTTTAAATAATAAAAGAACTTATTTACATTCAAAATCTTTCGCATTTCTTTCTTATCAATAAACCCATTGTGATTGATATCTAATATAAAGAAAAATATGCAAAGAAGAAAATGAAAATTTATAAAGTATCAACAAGAAAATACGAATCACTGAACGATGAGTACGAAAATTTGAAAGTGTAGAGTATGGATAAGAATAGAAATGAAGAAAAGACTAGCATCTATAGCCATCTGGATTTATTGATCTATCAATAGACGTCAGATTTACGGTCATCTTTTTGTGTGCTTAACTTTATGTACTCATCGTTTCGTTTCTCGGAAAAATACATACCGTACATTACAAATATCCATTCCAGTTTCTTCTGTGGATCTTGCTGACCAGTAATCGAAATAGCCATGAGGAACTCGCCAAAATCTAAAATAAACTGCATGCTAATTCGAAATGATTTTACAACTCTGTTTATTTTCTAATGGCCAAAAGACAACTCGATATCAGCTCTGTTTAAATATACTTCCTTAGTCTTCGTATCGAACTCGTTCTTACTCACCGATATTGCCTGATGAATCTGTATCAAATGCACGAAAGACATGTTTGCAAAATTTATCGGCTTTGCAAGTTGGATACAATTGTTTGTAGATTTCGATGAATTTTTTTCTATTCAAATTTCCAGATGGACAATCCTTCTGCAAACAATTGAAAATAAAAGAAACATGATATTTAAGATGGTATGCTTGTCTTGAGTAGCTCTCGCATAGGAGCATACTTTGTACGGTTGAATGTTATCAGAATTCGAAGATGGTGCATATTAGATAAACGTATTATTAATGAGACGCCCTTTTATTACATGCTTCGTACAGTTCACATTTATCAGAAACTAGTCAAAACATGTGTTTTCCGTCCTCACAAGCGCATAAGATATAATAGCTTTGAGTTTGAATGAGAAAGACAGAGAATAGAAGAGGCTTTCTACCACAATGAAAAGGATTATAAGACATGCTTGTCGTTGTTGATAGACATATACACACAGAGACAGAGCTATCCTTTGATATTATTTAGTAGAGAGATGAACGTCAGAAAAAAAAACATCCACAAAACAAAAACAGTCTTCTCGTTCGAAGACAATGAATGTTTCTCTTTGAAAAACTAGGGAAAACCTGTCTTTTTTGAACATTTTTTTTTTACATTGACATTATCAACAAATAAGAAGTCCACTAAACAGCAGTTGACGAAAATTTTCTAATAGAAAGATTGAGCGCAATTCGAACTTATGAGAGAGGAATACACGCAAAGAGTAGTGTGGGATCGGATAACTTTTTCGTTTTCACACTAATACTGCAGATCACGATACCAAAGTCGTGTGCCCATTTGAATGCATATAAATATATATGTATTTGTGTTCAACTAGCTGAATAAAGCACCTCTCGTAATAATTAAGAATACGAAAAAGACTACAAAATATGTTGATGAAATATTCAACTTAGAGGACGTACCAGAAAGCCAGCATGCCATTCACGCACTTGTTGCGACGTAAAACCGGAAATATTCGATAGATATGACACATCATTATCGGTCAGTATTTTGCCAGTTTTAACATGAGGTTCTTGATTGTTCAAGTTACTCTTATAGTCGGCAGATGCCATAGTTCTTATTTGACTGAATATCACAAAAATCTTTAATAAATCAAAAAGACATAAATAGCTAAATAACTATTTGCTTTTCTTATTTGATCATGATTTATTCATCCTTACTTGCTTTTTTTTTTTATGACAGTAATAAAATTTTAAAAAGTCCTGTTAATCTATCTACCTAAAGTTTGGAGAAAGAGAAAATATTATTCTCTTCGCTAACATAGAAGAATGAGAAAGAGTATGTTTGAAAGAATTTCCCTCTAACTAGATGAAATAGAAATAGAGGTCTTGTGGACAAATATTCTCTAGTGATGAATCACTTTTAATTATTAAAAAAACAAATATTGAGACCAAAAAAATGAAAGAAAAACCCATAGTAAAAGGCTTTTTTCTCCATTTATGACACTTTCACTAA